CTTTTAAATTTACTAATGTTTTCCATTTGTACTTCTTGCCACTGTTGTTGACTTTCCTGTAGTTGCTGCTGACTTTCTTCCTATTTCCTTTCTTGTTCTAGGTGCCACTGCTGTAATCTCTCTTCTTGTTTCTTTTCTCGTTCTTCTTGTTTCTTTTCTTTTTTCCTCCAACAACTGCTGTAATCTATGTTCTTGTTTCTTTTCTCGTTCTTCTTGTTTCTTTTCTTTTTTCCTCCAACAGCTGCTGTAATCTCTCTTCTTGTTTATTTTGCTGTTCGAGCTGCCACTGTTGCAGGTTTTCTTGCAACTGCTGTTGTCTTTTTTCTTTTTTCTTTTCTTGTTTATTTTCTTGTTCTTCTTGTTTCTTTTGCTGCTCTTGTATTGCTGCCATCAAATCTGCTAAGCTGTAGTTTGATTTGCCGCTTCTTATTTCCATTTTTTCTTTCTTTTCCATCCGACTTCTGACACCAATTTGTTACGTCTCCGTTCGTTAGTTAATTTTCCGTAAATTCGTTCCAACGAAACTTTAGCGACACAAGTCCTTTCTTAAATAAAACTGGTTTATTCTTTCTGAATATAACTTTGCGATACACTTAATTTCAACAGTCGAGCTATAACAAATGCTATAATTCTCAACGAACGTCTCACGTGCTCGACTCAACAATACTCAATTCAATTACACATTCCCCTACGTTGCTCCTTGGCCGGTCTTATATATGCAAGACTACCCCAATCTAGTAGTCTCCCGACATTTCATGAAGGTTCGAGAAGGAAGTGGCGTGATACAAGCGTCACGTGACCTGCGTTGTCGTAACAATATTAATAACTTTATTGCTGCTACACTCACAACAGTTACATCAACCTCTTGATAATCTTGATTGTCTCAGTGGTTTTTGTCTCTATTCAAAAATATTGAAAAGGTTTGCAACTATTGGCAGAGACAAAAAGTGCCCCAACTGATCTACAGTAGTGCGGTTCATACATAGAACTGCACTACCCCTTAAAATGAGCTTGGGAGTGGTGGTAGTTGAGAAGTCAATCTAAGTGAGGTGGTCGTATCATGATGCTGCTGTGTCAAACTACTATTACAAGTGCTAGTGAAGCGCTGGCGAGAAGTGCTAACGTATTGGTTGATATTTTCAGCAAATTCATAACTTGATTATATAACATTTCCCTCTTGGGTGTAAATTGAAATACGGCTTTTATTTTATTATTTTATATTATTTTAGTTATGAATTTCTGTAAAATCACATAATACACAGATTAAAAATTACTGTATAATGAATAAGTTATTTACATTGCCACAAACTTGCCTGGGATAAAAGGGACAGGCCCTCATTAGATGGACTGGATTCCAAATGAACAAGGGCATGAATAGATAATGGTATTGCACATAGGGACCAATGTTTGTTTCAGAGAACAATAGAACATGCAAGTGTTTGGAGAAAGATTCAATAGATGGAACAGAGATAGCAGCAGTAGAACACAGTAAAGCTGCATAAATCTGTCTTGGAAGAGTCGTCACCGAATTCCTTGCCTCAAGGTACGAGATGTTATTGAAAATTTTACACTTCTGAAGGATTTTTCAGTCCATTTGGGGCAGCATGACTCATTATGACACTCGATGGTTTCATGGTCTTTGTCACTGCAACAAACACAGATTAAATAGTTATAACAAGATGTTTTAGGATGTCCAAACTGCGAATATCGTAAAAATGGAGAGAATTAGGAATATAAGGCCAAATATCACGCCTTGACATTGTCAGATAGGTGTGAAGAGGTAAAGGTAGTGACTGTGCAGTTCAGATATTGTTTTATCGAGAGGAGAATCGTATAACAGCTGACACTCCCTGATTGGTGAGTTCATATGTAAAAAGAGTCTCTCTTAATGATGATTCCTCTTGAGGAATTCAAAGTATTATGTGGGTATATCCCAAATAGCCTTTGATTTCAAAAGGAGTACACTCACTGTCTTGTAATGGTGTGTTGACTAGCAGGTCCCTAGATCTTAACTTCCTAACTGACCTTGGATAGCCAGAATACCACTCGAAACCCTTTTGAATAAGAAAAAGAGACATCTTACCAATAGATGTTTCTGATAAGGGATGAAGAACCAGAAGGTTTAAAAATGGTAACTGTGGAGCTGCAGGGTCATTTGTTCATGGTCACTTGATTGTAACTCTGTTTGTTTAATGTGTTTTATCTAGAAGAGAAGAAAAGATCTGAGCTCATTATCTCTATCCATCAGTGTCCTATAAGAGATATGCTACAAAGTGCAGCAACACCAGGGTCTCATGGACATAATACCAAGGCTAAAGTGGGATGTTGCAATGACCCAAGTATGTAAAATAGGCACAATTCAACAACCAGGTTCTTCTCCTTCCCTTTTTTGAGTTACCATACACAAAAAACAATTGGGTGAATATTTGGATTCCAAAGAAAATATTATAGGCAGAAATGGGAGGACTCTTATCACGGACAAAAATCCATATCAAGGGGTTCTTAGGCTGAAGAAAAGGTTGAGATTATCAAAATGATTAAAGAAAATTAAATAGACCAGTGGACAGAACAAGAACGATCTCTGACCTTTACCATAAAACAGGCTGGTCATAATATCAGGCCAAGAGTTCAGGTTTCAACACAGGCGTTGATTGACAAGATCCACATTCGAAATATACATTGAAGTTTCCTCAAACTATCAATGTTCAGGTCCACACTTGCTATTTAAAAGTAAGTGCATTCTGCTGAAGAAATCTTTATAGACGTCTACCTTGTACTAAAAATAAAACTACCATTTACACATCCATTGACGTGTAGTGGTTGAGTGTTATTTTGAGTGTATCATGAGAAACAGCACTCTGCATGGCATTTTGATGAGTAGCATAAAAAAGACAATTGTAGCCCTGTAGCTAGCAATTTACAATTAAATCATACACAGCATTAACTATACACCTGGAAAAAAGTTAAGCACCCCCGTGTTTTTTTCAAGTGATTCAGATTCGACGTTCTTGTGACTGATTATAAATTACCATGAGATGCTCTCATCTTTCATATCAGAAGGTTACATTATCAAGCCTATATTTAGCAGAATGTACTCATAGCAAAAGCAGATCTCCCAGATCCTCTTCTGACAGGTTGGCAAGATGTTAATAGTGTGATGTAACCTATTCTTATGAAAAACACTGCTGTCTCAATTGCTTACTTGCAGTTAACCAGATGTGGTTGCAGTAGTACAGGATGTCGATATGTAACAAAGCAATTCATGTGCACAAAGAGCCTTCTGGAGTGTACTGTAGCTTGTTTG